TTATGCATTTGTGCAACTGCCACTTAATTTAGTGACATACTCAAGAGGATTTCATGACAGCTGATACAGATGCGATTCCACACTGAGGAAGGGTGAGAGTTTCCATCCACAAATATTGGGTGGCCCCTATGTGTGTCGTGAGTGGGAGAGAATCCAGGAGGAAGGGGAAGGGAAGAGCCTTTGCACTGGTGTGGCGCACATTTCTCATGGGAAGGTACAGCCGATGGTCAGGCAGGTCTCAGTTTTTCATGGGAAACCCAATGCATGCCTTCTTGCATGTTGTCCTACCCTTGACATGCCCTGGATCCCTCTGGGTCATCCAACCAGATCCACAGTGATCCTTGGCCAAATCCTGTGGACAGCCCTAAAGAAACCCATCATGCAAAGAAGTCACTCCATGATCTGTTGGCCCAGATCAAGGGAAGTAACAACAGTACAACTCTATTCTGCCTTGGTCAGGCCCACCTGGAGTCCTGTGTTCAGTTCTGGGCACCACAATTTTAAAAAGGATATTGGTAAGCTAGAACATGTGCAGAGGAAGGCTCTGGAAACTAAGCCTTACGAGGAATGTCTGAGGGAGTTGGGGATGTTTAACCTGGAAGGGTTGAAGGCTGTTCCAAAGCTGGGCCCTATGAGAAGGATGGTATTTGCGAGGACTCAGTTCCTATGAAGTCTTTTCCTATTTTTTTGTGCTGCCTTCCACTACAGTGATTAATAACCTTTCATTCTTTTCAGTTTTAATGAATAGGTGCCATTTTGCATCCTGCTTTAAAAGAAAAAGGGGGGGAAAGTCTGATTCTGTTAAATAATTACAATCATTTCCATGTTGGGTTATCCACTCTGCACCCTAGACCAAATTGGGACCTCTTCTATAGTGATAATAATTAAAACCTGTGAATCTGAAATTAACAGGTTTGCTTTGTCATTGATTGAACATTGTTTCAGCCCGCACCTCCTAAACCTTCAGATGGGGGGAGGGGCATCCAATTAGTCTCTTTCGAGAGGGTTGTTGCAGGCATGGATCCCTGCAGCCTGGAAAAAACACAATAGAAAAGGGGATACTTTCACCTATGTGTCCGTGTCCTTTCCCGCCTATCTGGGACATAATAAGTACTTTTGAGTGCTCAGCTGAAACAATGAATATAAACAATGAACATTTCTAAAGAATGGGAGGGGGGGAGTGCTTTGATTTCATCCTAACGCCAAAGTTTTGCTTTCACATAGAAATTGATGGGAAAAGCACTCTGAGAAACATAAAAAGCTGCTGAACCCAAGTCAAACAAATTGGTCCATCTAGTTTAGTATTTTCTATCATTTGGCAGTAGCCCTTCAGGATTTCAGACAGCTATACTTGAAGATGATGCCAGGGACTCAACTTGATGCATGTAATGCAGATGTTCTATCACAGAGCAAGGACCATTCCTTTCTATATCAACACACAGAATAAATAGGTTTGGTTCATGGAATGGGATCTTGTGGGTAGGAATGTCAGAGAATTCCAATGGAAATGCAAAAGGAAGGAGGCCTTGAGTTCATCTGTCATCAGGAATGGAACAAAGTCTAGTAAATATGATCTTTATTTGTTCACATTGTTCACTAGTTTTAAATCTGCCAACAATACACAATTGATTATTTTGTTTTTCATTGTATTGATGGTTCCTTTACGTTGAAATTGATGTAAGTTGTATAAACAGTTATAAAGGTAAAAAGGTAAAGGACCCCAGGACAGTTAAGTCTAGTCAAAGGTGACTATGGGGTTGTGGCGCTCATCTGGCTTTCAGGCCAAGGGAGCTGGCGTTTGTCCACAGACGGCTTTCCGGGTCATGTGGCCAGCATGACTAAACCATTTCTGGCACAACAGGACACCGTGATAGAAACCAGAGTGCATGTAAACACTGTTTACCTTCCTACCACAGCGGTACCTATTTATCTACTTGCACTGGCGTGCTTTCGAACTGCTAGGTCGACAGAAGCTGGGACAGAGCAACAGAAGATCACCCTATTGCAGGGATTCGAATCACCAACCTTCTGATCAGTAAGCCCAAGAGGCTCAGTGGTTTAGACCACAGCACCACCCACGTCCCTATATAAACAGTTATGTAAGTTATGTTAAATAATAGAAAGCAAGACAAATAGCAGAGTCTTTGGTAGAAACCAACCTGCAGTAGAATGGAAGCAGTAATGATTGTGAAGAATGCAGGTCAGATAATAAATCACTGCTTTCTTACATCCCTAATGTAATTTCCATGGAAAGAAGGGGGGAAAGTACAGAACAGTCCAGACACCTTCTTAGAAAGGAAACATGGAGATCAGAAATTCGTTGCCTATCCACATTCTTTAAGGTGTGAATGTGCAAAAGAAAAAGAAAAAAACACACATTTCCCCTAAAGCAAAATATGAGACACATTTCGGATGCTTCTTGTGAGGCAAATGGGTCTATTTCAGCAACCATGTTTCAAATGGCCCTTAAACTGCTTCTCCTCCTCTAAATCTCAATTTCTGCTTTCAAAAACTTTTATCCAGCCCTGTCCCTCCAACAATACCCAAAGACTATCCATATAAAGCTTCTTCACGTCGCCAGCCTCTTCGGCTGAGTCTAAGGCTACTCCAGTAGGTATGCTAACTGTATCACACTACAGCTATAGTTGCCACTGAATGGGACCCAAATTGAATTAAATATGTATTTTCAGGGTCCTGCTTGAGCAGTACTTATGACAGGGGGAAATTTCAGTTCAGTTTGCATTTTATTGCGAACATCCTTTTCTTCACTTCCTGAAACAATGGGCAAACCAGATCACAGCTATCCTTTGATATCTGAAGTCCTCGGAGTTTTTTTAAGCAACTCTGCAGGCAAAAAGAAGAAGTGCAAAATGTGTTTAATGCAGGAACGGTGTGCCTAAAATGCAGCTTTATGTGACATACACCACTTGCCAAAAATATCCATTTATCATCATCATCATCATCATTTCATTTATACTTTTCCAACTCAAACGCATTTCATAGATATTTTATATGCGCGTTAGCAAGCAAGCAAAAAAACCATTTATGTCAATACTCCCGAAAACATACAAAATGCAACCTGGGCATATGAAACAAATTTGCAGGCATCTGGTTGACCTCTGTGAGAACAATGTGCTGCACCCAGCAGGCTCTTCTTATGATTTAATGTTTACCCAGTGCCTCTTTCATTTTTTGCATCATGACTGGATTACTGGCCTCTAAGACACAGACTGGATTGGTTTTTTTGTGAACCACTCTCTGGTTCCTTTTTTCCAATCAAGAGGTACATAAACGTTATGAAATAAATAAAAAATAAATATGTGGATTTCGACCATGGTCCAGCAGTTGACCACCAGTGCTGTTGGTTCACCCCAAAACTGTGCAGAAATGTGCAGCAAACTTCCTCCTGAGAAAATTTGGTGGCTTCCCTCAACTTGTAGATGTTTTGTTCAACTGGGAACCTCAACATTCACCTTGACCTTTCTCTCTTGGCAAAACAGGGTGGAAATCCAACCTTCTGGGCCATAGCAAGTGGCAGAGAGAACCTCTCTGATTCTCTCCAGCCTTTGGTGTGGAGAGCCCGAGAGCTTATTCTCTCCCCCGCCCTCTTTCATCTCTTAAGATAATGTGAAAACATTTTCCCTCGGAAAACATGTTTATGCAACATCAGCATCAAAAAGCCATTTTCTTGTTTTCCCTAATGACTTTATCAGACATACAGCAACACAATGAAAGATGTTGTTATTCCCTTTTCTTTCCTTGATCTTTATGTTTTCATGGAAACATCATTAGTGAGGATAATAGTGGTGCCAGAACAGATTCAACACATAGGCCTGACGCTTTCGTCCTAATGGAGCAGGAGCGTAATCGGTTTGCCTCGAAGCTCCTCGTTGCATGTCAGCAGCCATTTCGGGAGGATGAAGCTGCAGCTGCCTCCTCAGCTACCATCTCGAGGAAACACAACAATCAGATTATCCCCTTTGACACAAATCTCCGAGGGCAGATTCTGCTCATAATGCTTGGCTGCCTCTGACAGGTGGTTGGATTTGGTGACCCAAGGGGTATCTTCCAAGGATGCATTTCTGCAATGTGCCTGATCATCACAGTGCTCATGGTAGGCTTGGTCTAAGGTCTAACGGGAGCAGCTAGCACTGTGGTCTAAACGACTGAGCTTCTTGGGCTTGCCGATTGGAAGGTCGGTGGTTCAAATCCCTGTGCCAGGGTGAGCTCCCATTCCTCAGCCCCAGCTCCTACCAACCTAGCAGTTTGAAAGCATACCAGCGCGAATAGATAAATAGGTACCTTTGCGGTGGGAAGGTAAACACTGTTTCCATGTGCTCTGGCCCTCATCATGGTGTCCCGTTGCAGTTTAGTCATGGGCCACATGACCTGGAAAGCTGTCTGCGGGCAAAAGTCAGCTCACTCAGCCTAAAGCAATATGGGTGCCACGGCTGTCTTAAGCATATGTGGTGCCAGGGTGCAAAGATCCGCCCGGCACCCCACCCCCAGTTGCCTAATCCCAGGTGTGCAGGAGGGCGGAGCTGGCTGGCTGCCTCAGCATCTTGCTTACCTGGTCACCCCCAAACTTGCAGCGCAGAGCCGCCGCAGCGCTCCAACCAACAGGCAGGCTCTTTCCTGGACTCTACTCTCGGGCCCCGGACTTTCGGCCTGGCACCCCTGAGAGCCTGGCACCTGGGTGCCCCGCACCGCTAGTGCCTATGGGTAAGATGGCCCTGATGGGTGCGACACCCCATAGTCAAGCTTGACTGAACTTAACCATCCAGTGGTCCTTTACCTTTAGGCTTGGTCTTCACCTGGTTGAGAAAGATTTTGCTTCCTTAGAGTAGAAGGGAACAATCATGCATGATCAATTTGTTACCCAGTCAAGGGTCCTCAGACTGTGGGAGACCACTACAGACGGTCTGTGAAGTATCTAGAGAAGGAGGTGAAGTCACTGGACAGGTTCATGTGACGTGTAGTGCATTCCTTCCCCAGGAGGGGGAAGGCCTGTAGCCCAATGGTAGAGCATTTGTTTTGCGTGCAGAAGGTCCCAGGTTCATTCCCTGACATCTCCAGGTAGGGCTGGGAGAAAACACTACCTGAAATCTTGGAGAGCTGCTGTCAGTCAGTGTAGACAATATTGAGCAAGATGGGTCCAATGGTCTGATTCAGTATAAGGCATCTTCCAGTATTCCTATGTACTCAATAGAATTCTAAACAAACAAAAAAACCATTCTAGGGACCTGAGAAGAAGGCAGAAAAATTGCTGCCTCTTTGCCAAGGGAAGAAAACCTATGAGAAACTGTAGGACAAATTTTGGTGCAGCCCTGCTAGAATGAACCAACCCAACTTTGTCTGGTGAACATGTGGTTTGGAGTTTTTATTTGGCATGCGGTGTTGAATGAAGTGGAGCAAGATCCCCTAACCAGAGTATTTATAAAAGGTTTACTGTTACAAATGGCGGAGGCCAACTCTACGACATCCGTGTTTGTGGTTATCCATTAAGTTTGTGCAGCTTAGAAGTGTCTCTCATTTCCACCAACGCAAGCAGATCTCTATTTCAGTTTCAGCAGGAAACAACCATTCACTTAACAGAATGCAGTTGTGGTTGTCAGATGAACAATTCGTTAATTAGAAGAAAGGTCAAGGAAGCATCTTCAGAAAAAAATTGACCTGTTTAAAGCAAACATCCATTAAGAGGCACAAGAGCGTCAGTTTTCCTTACTTGTGTGAAAGGACACTGCTTATTACGGAGGGGGGAAATCAGCAACTCATGTGGTTTTAGGAGGCTTATGGTTAATTGCATTTAAAAAGTAACAAACATTCAACCAACACACCATTTGTCATTAAGTCAACATGTTAGGCCCAGGATATCGAGTGGGAATAATATGATGGCAACTGAGATTCAAGTAGTTGATAGCATTTTCCTTATAAAAGGGGTTTAGACAAATCCGTGGGTTATAGGGCTCTCAGTGGCTACTAGCCATGGTGGCTATGTTCCAACTCTACGGTCGGAGGCAGTATGCTGGGGATCACAAATGAGGAGAGTGATTTTGCACTCAGGTCCTGCATATAACCTTCCCATAGGCATCTGACTAGATGCTGGTAGAAAACTGTTGAACTGGAAATCGAAAACATGAATCTATTAACATATTTTTTCTTCACATAGGTCATTATTCTCCTTTCAGTTGGGCTGTGAGAGCAGCATATCAGTGGTGGAGTTGGAATAATAATGTGGTCTTCATTTTCCCAACTGTTCCTTTATGTAAGCAAAATAATCGGAGCTCTCTGACTATTTTCTTCATGGAATGGATGGCAAAGTAAAAAGAATCTGACTTTTAATAGTGGGTTTTGGGGGGGGCAGGTAGCCACAAAGGTACAATCACCTAATGTGATACTCCCTGGACCTATTTCTTTGAACTTTGGCAGCTCTCCTAAACCCCCAGATACATCTACCCAAAATTTGGCCAGCTTAATTCACCTTTGACCTGCTCCCTGCCTGCAAATTCCATTGACTTATGTGAAAAAGGAGAAAAAATATAATAGCCATTTTTGGTTGCCCACTATAGCGAATGTAGGTTAAATAGGGATTGGGATTTAACAGATCAGATTCTGATCTGCATAATCATAGAATCATAGAATTGTAGAGTCGGAAGGGACTTTGAGCATCATCTAGTCCAGAGCCCTGCAGTGCAGGAGTGCTTTATTGTGTTTTTTATATATTGCTGGAAGCAACCCAGAGTCGCTGGGGCAACCCAGTCAGATGGGCGTTTTATTATTATTATTATTATTATTATTATTATTATTATCAACTGAAGCATCCATGACAGATGGCTTTCCAACCTCTGCTTAAACACCTCCAATGATGGAGAGTCCTTCACCTTCAAAGGGAGTCTATTACACTGTCAAACAGCTTGTATCTTCAGAAAGTATAGTTGCAATATTTGTTCTTGCAACTTGAATCCATTGGTTTGGGTCCTACCCTCCAGAGCAAGGGAAAACAAACTTGCTTCATCATGCATGTGACAGGCCTTCATATATCTGAAGGACACTCCACAACCTCCTGAGAAAGTACATTCCACTGTCAAATAGCTCTTACCAGGGGTGCCAACTTGAATAAAATATTGTGGGGGCCCAGGTACTTGTAAACCCTGCCCTGCATAATCGATCACTTGACGCAGTGCACACACACCATTTGAATGGGAATGCCCATCAACTTTGTGGGGCCCAGCCCCCTCAATTATTTTATTGTGAAGGCTGAAGCCCCCATGGGCTTACTATCGGGAAGTGCTTCCTGATGTTTAGTCGGAATCTCTTTTCTTGTAAATTGAATTCATTGGTTCGGGTCCTACCCTCCAGAGCAGGAGAAAACAAGGTCGCTCCATCTTCCATGAATCATGAGTAATAAATCAAATCAGTATGAGACAGAGTGCATGTGGGACTGATGCTGATGTTAGAATTGCTGCTCCATGATTGCAGTCATGGGATTTTTGTCTTTCACATGACTTCACAGAGTGGGAAGTGACGGGGACAGGATGTTTGTGTTACTGTGTTCCATGAAGTGGGACTATTGTCCTTTATTCTTTCTCTCTTTGCTGTCTGATGCTAGAGAGAGAGGGAGCCATGTTGCAGTGCTCCATGTGGGTTTATATGTAAATAAAGTAGATTAGCCAAAATGCTGCGTTGCTGAGGTCTGTTACACAACTGCGCAAACTCTGTGGATCCCTAAGTGTGCTGGTGTCAGTTGGCATTGGTCACTGTGATGTTCAGGCAGAAGAAAGCTTTTGAAGCGATTGACCAGGAGGGAGAGAACATGCCAGTCAGGCATGTGTCTCAACTAGGGTCCTACTCGAGTGTAGGCTGAGCTCCTGACAGCTGATACCCTATTATCAGGTGGTCTATTCCATACGCTATAGGAATCTGGCCTTTAGTGTGAATGCACCTACCCTCTCAAACTCCCTCCCATTACATATCCTAGAGACGCTATTTCCATTGTCTTCTTTGGCACCTTTTGAAGACCTTCCTTTGGGAGAAAGGAGATCTTTATCCCTGTTTGCATCTGCATATTGGAATCGGCATTTTTATTTATTTTTACATATGCAATTGATTTTATTTTTATGTCTTAATTATTGAAGCTATTGTCATAAATCTCTTCAAGATATTTCATGGGAAGTCATAGATGGAACCCAATAAATAAATGCGCATCAGAACAGGTGAACCAAATAGACCCCACTCCATTCAATTCGTCGTCATGAAATTAATAAGAACCAGCTCACTGAGACGCTGGTCTTGCTTATGCTAGAAATATATTTGGATACGGCTGGAGATGTTTTGAGCCATGGTGCATGGCCAATCTCCTCGCCGCCTTCCTTCTTGAACCCCCTGCATTCACTTCATTACCAGCCCCTTTCCATCCCATTCCTGAGCGGCACATTTCCCTCAAAATATGTCTGGGGGAAGGAAAAGCGCACTTTGGAGTATCAGTGGCTCTGGGATACTAGCTGAGAAGCTAATGATTTATAATACATTAGAGGAGTGGGCATGATAAAAGGCTGTGGGGGAGATTTCACTTGCTCTACAGCCTCTGGTCCTTGCATAACTTAAGCAACAAGGTGCCTCTCGCAAACGGCACGATTTTAACCTGAAGCTATTACCGGTGTTTGAGATAACATATTGTTTAATCCTTCCAACTTCAACATGAATCATTCTATGGGATGAAAAAAAAAGTGGCCTTGTAAGGGGAATATTATAATGTGAACATCAGTGCTGAGCGATAAGAAGTCGGAGACGAGAAAGGGGAAGCCATGCGGTTTGGTGGGATGGGGGAAGAGAGACACTGCAGGATTTCTCTCAATTAATTTCTTTTAAAAATATCTAGATATTTTAGGGAAGATGAACATATACGTTCCTGTTATTTCAGAAAAGTCTGGATGTTAAAAAGTGGAGCCGTGTGAATTAGTCTCCGACTTTTGCAGTATTCTCCAACTTTTTGCAATTAGGTTGCCAGTGTGGGCTCGCCCCCCACTCCGACAAACTTTGGACCCCTCCAGTCCATTCAGCACACTTATCTGCATCTGCAGGAGAGTGTGGAAAATCGTAGATGCTTACAACTCTGCTAACCTAGCGCGCTTCCAGACTGTCACAGTTCTCAGGATTCAGATCACAAAGTGGCCATTCGGGTTGCACAATTACAGTTACTTGGAGGTCTTGTGCACACTTCCCTAAAAAAAAAAAAATGCAATAAGGAAAGTGATGGGGGAACTGCACTAGAAAAAGTGGGACACCCCTTGGTTTGACAGAAGACCTTCTCAGCTAAGAACATAAATATAGCTCTGCTAACATTTGGCCCATTTGGTCCGGAATCCTATTCCCGTAGTCGCCAACTGAATAATAATTTTATTATTTGGGAAATCCGCGAGCAAGATCTGAGTGTTAGAATCCCTGATCTATGACTGCAGTCATGGGATTTTTGTCTTTCACATGACGGTATATGTTTTGACTCCACAGAGTGGGAAGTAATGGAGACAGGATGTTTGTGTTCCTGTGTTCCGTGAAGTGGGACTATTGTCCTTTTTCTCTTTGCTGTCTGATGCTAGAGAGAGAGGGAGCCATGTTGCAGTCCTCTGTGTGTGTTGATATGTAAATAAAGTAGATTAGCCAAAATGCTGAGTTGCTGAGGTCTGCCACACGCATGATGCGCAAACTCTGCGGATCCCTAAGTGTGCCGGTGTCGGTTGGCATTGGTTGCTGTGATGTTCAGGCAGAAGAAAGCCTATGAAGCTCCCAAACAATTGACAAGGAGGGAGGGAACATGCCAGTTGGACATGTGTCTCTGCCAGAGTCCTTCTCGAGTGTAGGCTGAAATCCTGACACTGAGCACAGCAGCACTCTTCTCTCCTATGGTTTCCAGCAACTGGTATTCAGAAACAGCTTACCTCTAAACATGAAGCCAGAGTACAACTGTGGCTGGTAGCCACCAATTGCCTTATCCTCTGCAAAAAATAAATAAATTGTCCAATATTGTTTTAAAGCAATCCAAGTTGGTGTCCAGCCCTGCCTATTGCAGGATCAAATT